GGGGGGTATATTTCGATAAGGATCATATTTACTTCAGCTGTTGTCCCAACTGTGGCTAATAAACTCGGCCCAGCTGTCCCTTGGAAAGCCTGGCATTGTCTGCTCCGTTTTTTCTTTGTGTACACTTCAACGTGCTGGGTGTTCTTTGGCTCTTCTCTTTTAGATCTTTTTGAAAAAGAATCCAGGTTAAAGCTTGTTCCGTGTTGGTTACTGGGTTCATGTTTATGGAGGTTGTGAAAACAATAGATCGTTTGATACTAAATTTAAGTCAGAAAACAAACAATTGATCCCAGATAAATTTCATACCCAACTCTTTTATCAAACGCTTTATTCTTATGAAACACAAGGCTGAAGGCCCCTGTAATAGCTCAGCCCAGTTTGCTAGAAATGACAGACGATGGAGTATATCTTTTTTTTTTTTTTCAAATAAATAGTATTTACGCCCACGTTGACAGAATTTACATTTTAATATTCTGGTGGCGGGATTCCGACCCAGCCTGTCAAGGCAACCCGGATCGAAAGGGATACAACATTCCAACACAAAGCCCCCTCACCGACGGGAGGTCTCCTTGCTAGTCCGACTATTTTCCTCAGCTATCAAGTCTCAGGATTCATTCCAGCCTGCGTCCTTTCTCTTTTACCAGATCCACCAGTGACTTGCTTTCTCAACTGTCTCCTGATACTGAAGGGAATTTATGATCTCATTATTTTTCTTTGCAGTAATGAGATTATAAATTCTCTTCAGGACACAGTATCTTTTTCTTTCTGATGTTTTTTCTTTGAATAACAATTGCGTTTCGGTGCGTTTTTAAATAACTATATAATGTACCCCGTGAACTACGAGAACAACGTTGTTGAAAAATAAAGTACGGCATCATGGTGAAATCAGGTACTCATCAAAATAATGACATCGGAAAAAGGGACATTTTCCGCATGTTCGGCTACTTTTGTCAACTTCTTTTTTAAAGCGCAGTGCCTTTTATGTCCATTTAAGAATACGTGGACATTTCTGAGCCAATTTTTCTGAAAAATGTTGATGAAAAGCACACTATCGTAAATTTGCGGTTTCCATGGACACTCAAGCTTCGGAAATCAAGGGTCTGAAGCCGTCTTTTTGTCGCTTATTTTTTTAAACTCTGACACCAGGCGATTCCCACTTTCTTCAATTGCAAACACATCAACTTCTATGCAAGATATATATTATATTTTTTTTCTCTCTCCCTCCCCCCCCCCCCTTTTTTCATCAAAAGAACAAGCTTTCAGGTGGAAACAATTGCTCTACATGCCAAAAAAATTGACAAGCGCCTGTTTCCACTGCGCTGCGTCACAATTTACAACGTACATCTAAGGTCACCACTCACTGAAGAGCCAACATGGGGGTAGCTATGCCGCCATGCGCCAGATATGGATGTTGAGATTTAGGGGTGGGGTAGGGGTGGGGTTTATAAAGTCTGAAGGAGACCGTTACCATTTTAGCTTTTAAGCAGACCATGACGCGATTTGAAATCGAGTGTAGATATAGTCAAAAACGTATTTATAAGAGTCTGATTTCTATTGTGTCCATCGCGTTTTGCCGATGACATCGATGGATTAGCAGGAGAAGAACAGGAGCTCGCCACACTAGTGGAGTGGAGCGGCTGGACACAACCTCAGCAGCTTACGGCATGGAGATCAGTGCCGAGAAAACCAAGCTAGAGACCAATAACACCAATTTCATCAATGCGGACATCAAAGTCAGGGGCGAGAAACTTGAAACCGTTAACAGCTTCAAATACCTTGGATCTATCGTCTCAGATGAAGGCTCAAGGCCAGAAATTCTCCCCAGAATCGCGCAAACAACAGCTGCGCTGTCAAAACTGAAGCCTATTTGGAGGGACACAAACATCACGCACAGCTAAAAAATTAGACTAATGCGCTCACTGGTCATCTCAATATTTGTATACGCCTGCGAGTCATGGACACTAACAGCAGAATTAGAGAAAAAGATTCAGACCACAGAGATGAGATGTTACCACAGACTCCTTGACATCTCGTACAAAGACCACGTTTCAAATGCTGAAGTACGAAAGAGAATCACCAACGCAATGGGGCACTATGAAGATCTACTGACCACAGTGAAGAGACGAATACTAAAATGGTATGGGCATGTCACAAGATCCACAGGACTTGCCAAAACAATCTTGCAAGGAACCGTACAAGGAAAGAGAAAAAGAGGAAGGCATAGAAGGAGAGGGGAGGGCACCATTACAGAGTGGACAGGAAAGACGATGGGTGACAATCTGAGGAGAGCAGAGGACAAAAATAGATGGCGAGAGCTGGTTTTCCAATGCAGTGGTGCCCCAACGGTTGCCCCAACCACGGGATAGAAGAAGTGAAGAAGAAGATTTCTATTGATGTCATCAAAAAAGTTGAAGCTTTTAATTCCAATAAATAGTACGTTTGGTGCACACATCTCAGTAA